ACAGTTGGAATGATTATTTTCACGACGTAGAAAACACTGTGGCGTTTTAGCTTGAAAACGAAGGCTACACTCTCCTGTATACTGTCCACACCTTCGTATACAGAAACGGTTGCCTCGATTGATATGTTTACCAATTTCCATTCAGAGTTCGACTTAAAAAAGTCCATATTAATGGAATCCTTTGTTGCCACAAGCTTCACCTCATCGTTGTAATACACCCATGAGCCAATATTTAAAAAACATTTCTGAGAATCAAATGGAAATGTGACAACATCAATTTCACAGATAGTTTTGAAAATGTTTCCTGGTGACCACTCAACTTCTCCATCAGAATGAACTATAACAAAATCCTGACCAGATCCCAACATACTTAAACCTGCGACAGAATTTTCAGTCATGATATCTGGAATCCATATCATAGTTTGCTTGACATACATTCTGTCAATCCCACCATAGATGCTAGCATTCCAAGTTAGTCTCGAATCGGTCCACGCCAGGTCGATCCACCCACTTGAGGTAAAAACTTGTTCTCTTTCATCCAGCCCAATGATAAACTGAGGGTACAAAACGACACTGACAGAAACAATACTTCCACTTTGAGGGTCACATTTGGAGAACATTGAACGCTTTTCGATGACATCATTGATCAGTTTCAACTCATCTGCGATGCTTGTTTTCACCATGCACTGGCACATACAGTCCATCAGTAACACAAAGAAAGACAGTCGGGGCTGCATTTTGAAAGAATAATTCAACGCTAATAGTCCAGATGAAGTCTATAAATGACGAAACTGAAAAACATATAATTCCCCGACTTAATACACCTGGCAGTGCAGTCTACTCGATGATGTTATTACATTTTAATCGCAGTCTAAAATACACCCATTGTAATGGGAAAGGTTTGACACATACTGCCATCTGTCCGTATGGCTGGATCATGCATACGCCCAGCCGAAACATCCATACTCTCTATTGATTGATGTGGAGCTCAAATATAGTGATTGTTCTATGTACAATTCATTAGTTTTTACTTGATGTGTATCAGATGAGGACCTTCCATTGCTCTAGCTTTGACAGGGCTGTTCAATACAAGGATGAAACATTAATATATGATGACGTCAACCGATAAATACAAAAGCATATATAATTATGTTTCCCCATACCCATCTGTGGGCGTTACTGGAGATGTAGTATGCTATATATTGCTGTTAATATTGTGGTGTTATGACCTTATGCATGCAACTCTATAATCTCTCTCCTGTTGGGGAAGATGTTACAGGTCGCTGTTGTTCTTTAATTAAAGTTTGAGCTACGCAGATTCATTCAGTTTGCACATCGGTTTTTCAATTCATACCTCAATGAACCGACAAAATACACAGTGAATGCTTATAATTAAATTCGACAACGAAAACATGTTTTATCTACATTAGTTTAACAAAAAAAACAGTTGTATATATCAAAACAGACAAAAATGACGAGATTGATAAACAATACATACTGTGCCGTGACATGAATCAGGTGATTGTTTAATTTATGCACATAACTTGACACGCCTACAAAGTCAGTAGCCAATCAACAGAGAGTAAGATCAAAACAATGTTCATCGGACATGTCAATCAAGACAGGAGGCGAGAATCAGTGTAACACTCAGACTGTCACGAGCCGGAACAAATATGTCCGGGAGAGGGCGGCTGTTTCAAATGACATGATCAGTTACCACCAGATTCAAACATTAGTTCCCTGAGAACGGAAAGACACAGTTGGAGACATGCTAGTTAGAAAAGAAACCCGAAGACATGAAAGTTGTGGAACCGAGGAAAGCGGGAAAACAAACAAGCGAGCCTGGATGTTTGCTGTTTCATTCCTTTTCGGCCTTCGGTCTCAAAGGGTTGTTTTGACAATGAATATGCATGAGAGCAGAAAGGGAATTCCATCGACTGTAATATTGGAGATTCCCCGACATTCAGTAGTAATAAAAGTAGTACGCTACGGTGGGCGTTGCTTAATTTTTTACATTCATTGGGAAATGAATGCAATAACACGTGACCAATTCAGCTTATAAGAAAGCAGGAATTTCAGTGAACACAAGGAAAATTTAATTATTCATAAATAGATTGACAAATGATATGTACACTACCACGGAAAGTCTAATGCATATATGGCTTTCTAATCCCTGAGGGTTGCAACATACACACAAAGGGATATGTTGAGTGAGAACCAGGTTGATTTGTATAGTTTATATCAATCTCTGGCGCCGATATATCTCTGAAAAATATTTTGTATAGCTTACTTTGTCAAAATATAATATGCTTATATCTCCAGGCAAGAGTCTGTAATGAGACATGTAGCCTGCTTCGTATATGTATAGAACGTCAACGCCAGAGAAAAACAGTGTCGATTATATGTCGAAACAGAATCTATTGGCGTAATTGTCATGATGTTCAGACAACCATTACTCCCACAATTTGCATTTGTAAATTCCTTTTGTTTTATGTAATATATTAACGGATGGTGGGCCATAGCATTGGCCCGAACGAACCAAGACACATAAATTGACAAAATACATATAATACAGAGCTGTAGGCTGACTATTAACAATGTCATTTGTGCAAACTATTCTTACCAACTTTAATAAATACAAGCGACATAATCCATTTCCATAATCATAAGAAACGGAATCGATTCCGATTATACCGTGAGCATTTGTTCATGAATCACTATAAAATAGTGATGACACGGGGTGTATTCGAATGGCATAGCTAAATTTTTTTAATGTTAACACTTGATAAAAATTGCGCAAAGCTTAAACCAATACCCGGAGTGATGGGTTCTCAGAGAGGAGTTAATGGGTTGGGTCATCACAAACAATCAGACATTGAAGCTTTGATTATTGGATGCTGCTTACGATTGATCAAACATGCTGTTTACACGTATGCATATAACTATTAAATATGGATACAATATGGTAATGCTTGCCGTAAAAGGCGACCATACTTGTCGTAAGAGGCGACTAACGGGATCGGGAGGTCAGGCTCGCTGACCTCTTTGATGCATGTCATCGTATCTCAATTGCGTGGATCGATGCTCTTACATACCGCCATCATATAGCTGGAATATTGATGAGTGTGGCGTTAAACAAAGGCAAAGGTTCTATATAGGCAACATCTCTCATTCTTCTTATCTAGTTGAAATCAATAATCAGTATTATATCGCTTTCATTCCCGAGTGTTTCCTTTGTTCCTTGTCAGGAGCGTATTTGTATAAGCGCGTAGGAGTCTCGTTATCACCTGCAATTAGCTTGAACAGGTCATACATGTAATTAGATAAGACAGACCTGCCTGAAAAACCTCTAAACTTTTAGATGTTTATTTTTTAACCCAACGCAGCAGAGTTTGAACATTGATAATGAAATAAAAATAAAAACATCGCCTGCAAATTACAAACAGGTTTTGGCCCAATTCTCCGGGTAGAGACAAGCCAATCACTGATGCTGGTTCACAGTAAACATTGAGCGCTCCACCGCCTCAGTCATCAACGCACTGTGACTTTTGACTCCCCAACGTGAGATCTTCTTTCTTAACAAACACACTGGAAATGACATCGTTCTTTTCCAACACGATCAGATTCTCACGAGTGTGAGAATCGATGAAAGTCATGTCCAAACGCTTTGACAAAAGTTTGAAGGATCACTGACACTGTCCCGTCACTTTACATGTCAAATAAAGCGCCACTAGCAGTTTCTTTGTATAGGTTTAAAAAGACACAGTGGAGTTGTGAGGTGAATACCCTAGTGGCGACGTCGTTTAAACTTAACAAAATATATTCTGTACCTTTTAATGTGCGTATCAAGGTAAGAGGAACATTTATGACAATTTATGAGTGAGTATGGATCTACGAGGATGTTAGCAATATTCCAATATCATTGCCGGGACACCAGAAATGAGCTTCAGACATTGTAACCATGTGGGAAATCGAACCCGGTGAGTATGGTGTATGGTAAAAGTGTGACCGTTATACACTGGCTCACTTTTAAAACAAAAAAAAACTAAATTAATTCCTCAGTAGTTGCTTTCAGATCTATGTGCGACACAGGGTAATAACATATAAGCGTAAGCAGTGTTGGTGTGATGTTATCTAGGCTTTGCGCCGGAAAAAGGCTCTAGACGGTGTCATTACCTCCACAACATATCTCACATGATAACTTGACGTGTCAGACACTTTACATTTACTCGGGAAAACCATCACTTGGATCCCTAAGATGTCACGTTATGAAACTCCCATGTACACTTCCATCCAGTATATAACAGTATCAGGTACATATGTACAAAAAGCAGAAGCACTGTACCTCCAAAGCATGATGCTGTTTTCATATATACAGAACAAACAAAAGTTGTGAATATTTGTGGGGATATGTTTTCGTAATGAAGACTGAGTGTTTTTAAATGAGTACGTTATATAAATATTTCATTGTCTCAAATTCTTTTTGTTCAGTATAGTTCACCGTGCTACATATGATCTGTTCACACATTGTACGTGTATTTGATAAAGACTATTCAACGATTTCATTTGTGATAGTCTAATTTGTTCGATGTTGCTGCAAAATAAAACCTGGACAACTGTCATTGTAGTGCCGGCAAAATACTCCTTCATACTCATGTTAACCAATAAGATGGAGACAATAAGTAAAATATTACTCCATTTTTGATAGTGATATTGATATGTTTCTTACAATTTTCATAAAAATGTATTCATAAGTAATGTTTGTTGTATCTTAATAATATAGATATCTCTCTCAAGATCTGATTAGTTTTTAATTAGTAATTAATATTGAAGTTTCACTTTGTCAGATTGTGCAACAGTTATTCAATAAAAGGATAGTGCTCCATAGGCAACATGCGTCGGAACCATTCCGTCAGTTCCAGAATAGTGATTCAAAATGTCACTTGGTGTCATATAAAATCATAAAATCAGAAACATCAAATCATCACATAAAAAGAACATACATAAAATGATATTTTATTCTTCTCTAAATCTACAGTATTTTACAATATAAAACAACGTACTCCAAACTCTCTCCACATTCACACCAACGGGAACATACACAATGTTGTGACAAAACAATAAAAATAAGTATTCATAATGCAACACTTCGCATGCTGACGACCACATGTAATAAGCATAAGCTGTAGATTATACAACATGTCCCGGAAGCTATTGTCATTTCGTTTTTATGTACCAATCCGTACTTTCACACCGACAATCCGTGGTTCACAAGTTGGTGCTCAAGTCTGAATTATCTCCCTTGTCGCTGTTGCAGGAATCTGAAGAGCTGTCCTTTCTGTCAATAAAAAAGACCATTCGGTTTCTCATGGATAGTCATTGTATTCATGTAAGTATATACGTGCCATATATATCTCGTTTGGTTCATTACATTAGTACACCAAAGATCCTGTCGTCAAAGCGCCGCAATTAGATTTATGCAGAGTTGCGTCTCTTAGAAATGCTAGGATCCTCTTGTCGTTTGGTTCGATTCCCCGATTTGCTTTATTTCGATCAAAACGGCAAATTTCTACGTTGGTTGACTTTGGCCTCCCTGCAACATCAACCTGACACGCCGAGATATTACTGAAAAACTGTTGAAAGCAGCCAAACACCCAACTCGTTTCTAATTTACTTATTATTTAACTCCCCTTCATGCGATTCCAAACGGGAATGATTCTCAATTGCTACCCTCGAAATAATGCGTTATTATGTCTGTGGTTGACATAAGCGAATTTCTAATAAACGTCATCTCGTCTTTTGTCCCATATAATATTATAACTGAGCATAATTTGCGTTAACTTGGTATAAATCATTTACTGAATGTATGACATTTGAGGTTAATATCATTTCCTTATCATGGCATAATGGACGTCAGGGTCTTCGCACGACAAAGAGAACCCTGATTGACCGGAGAGGGTGAGTGAGCGGGGTTGTTTTTGCAGTATTCCATCAAATTTATAGCGGGGGATACCAGAAATGGGCTTCACATACTGTTGCCATATGGGGAATCAAACATGTGCCTTCGGTCGTGGACTGTCACTGTCCTGTTTGAACGGAATGCATCTAATGTAGAATGAATTCGCCATAATGTCACCTTGTAGAACATAATCACTCTCCCTTCATGTGTTGATTACATGAAGCTGACACAATTAAATTTTTTGATTACATATTGATGTTACATATTATTTTCTAAAAGGTAATTACTAAAATACACTCTACAGTTTATTTGACAGTTTATGTTGAATTAAACCATTCGCGCATGCAACTACCTCCCATCCTTCGAATTACCCAGTATACCTTTCACGACTTTGTGTAGATTTAGAGGTAATTAATGTATTTTCAGATTTGCTGGTGTTTTTGTGTAATTAATTTGGAACCGACGGCCCCAGCAACTCTGAAAACACATAATTTTGTCGATATTGTAAAATACAAACGTTTGCAGTAATGTTCCGTAGGTCACAGCAACCTGGCTGGTAGAATGTGAAACAAACCAAATCAAAGTTTTTTTCTGGTAAATGTTGCTCAACTTTGATATATTATTAATGTGGTATACATTTCGCCAGACCGAATGGCACATTCTTTCCAAATTTGGGAATTGAGAAAAAACGGATACTTTTCAAGCAAAGTTTTCCATATGCAGTGAAGATGTCTGGATCGAATCCCACTTAACATTTTTCAACCAATCAAACTGCAGCAAACACTCCCATCCCTTTTCACAACGATGAATCGATCGGTCACATTAAGATAATTTTATACTGGATATTATTTCCATATAAACATCCGTCAACCTAAAAGTTTACCGTGTTTGGTTGTCCGCGTCCAAAGATATCGTATTGTCAGCATCCTTTACTTCAGCTTCCTGGGTTTCAACAGTTTTGATTTCCGTCTTCGACGTCGAAGCTCCCAGTGTTGGATCCTGTTCCGTTTTAATTTCGATCGATGGCGTTGTAGTTTTAATGTCAACCTCATTGTCTTCATTATCGGTTTGTGGTTCAACGTCAACGGCCTTCTCTCTGACGTCTGAATCGCTGGTTTCTTTACCATTTTCCTTTGGTTTGTGATCCTTTTTCTTGTCGGCAGATTTAGTCTTTCCCTGTTCCTCGTCGTCGACGTAAGCGGGGTTCATACAGCCGTGGATGCCGGCTTGGGGACGTCTCTGAAGCGTAGAGGCTTCAGTATCTACCCAACCGTTTCCGTTGTTTTTTTCATTGTCGACAATAAACGAGGTTATTCGTATGTTTCCGTCATCTTTCCCTACCTCCACCTCGTCACACATTGATGCAGACGATGTATTTCCACCGTAGCTTCCAGCTCGTTGCCTGAAAAGACATTTAAGTATTGAGTGAGTGAGTGAGTATGGTTTTACGCCGCTTTTAGCAATATTCCAGCAATATCACGGCGGGGGACACCAGAAATGGGCTTCACACAATGTACCCACGTCGGGAATCGAACCCGGGTCTTCGGCGTCACAAGCGAACGATTTAACCACTAGGCTACCCGACCGCCCCTTTAAGTATTGTATATAACAACGAAGTCATAACTAATTTTGCAAAGCCAGAGAGACTGCAGTAAGTCTAAAAAACCAGCTCGATTTGTTTAAAGATAATGAATATAAAACGTCAACGCCAGAGAATAATCAGATTCAAATGGGTGTTAAAGTAAAAATATTGGTGAAAAATAATTGGCGCAGATAATGATACATGTATTTTTAATTGTCAGGATACCAAATTACGATGGCATTAGTGTTCTCGGGGACGTCATGTAGAAATGGACAAGTATTTGAGGTAACGAAAACAATAGCATACATAGAAAAGACAAAATACGAATACCTCAGCAAATACGTAATTTGTTGTATTGGGACAAAGATAGTGAAAATATATTACTGCTGAAGATAAATGAAATACGAAAATGTGTGTTTTCATTCAAATCAGGCATCAATTTCGAGTGAAATAGAAAACATATACTCACTTGATAAACTAGCTACAAATATGTCACACAGCAATATAAATGTTGTTGTTTTGGGAAAGAGGTAGAGAAAAAGTCTAACTGTCATCCTAAATATAGTGCGTACACATGTGTTTTCATTAAAAATAAGGCATCAAATTCGAATGGAAGTGAAAATATATACTCATTTGACAGACTAAATACAAAACACAGATCAGCAACTATAAATGCTGTTGTATTGTGACAAAGGCAGAGAAAATATATTTCTTTATACAAAGTGAAATGTGCAAAATAAGGCATCGGTTTTAAGTGAAATAGAGAATATATACTCATATAACAGACCTGTCCAAAATCACTGCAAATGTAAATGTTGCATTATTTGGACAAAGGAAAAGACAAACTCACTGCTAATTGCTTCAATTAATTTCAACGTGCACATTTTCACACGTTTGAAACTGCAGCACGTATCGCGTTGAAGCCTCTAGGTTTCAATTTTCATACAATCGTTTTATCCAAATAAACCGCGTGGTATTTGAGTTTTAAAAACACACGTTCGAAAAACGCAAAGTTCAACAAACAAGTATGAAACATTTGTTTTCAACATATTTTACCACTGAAACGTAGGTCCAGCCGACCTTGATGTTCACATTTTACCAAACATAACCTCCTAATTCTTGCCTGCATGTTATTTCCCAAGACAAATGCACGAACATTTGATGTTTCGCGTGAAGAGTATTCCTCGCAGTGTTTAAATTTGACATTTAACGAAAGGCCCTGCTTCAAAACTTGACAAAGGGAGGTCTTCAAATGCAAATATGTTTTCTCCCGCTGTCTTCTTGAATAAAAACGTCAAACATTTTATTGTATCATTTTAAGCCAGTATTTTCAACCTAAACCGTGAAAGTAATTAAGAAAACATGTCTTGCATAGCAAGGAGGTGATAAGTGCAGTAAAAGGTATTTATCGATGGCCACAAAGTTTTCAAATATTGAATCTGAGGGAAAGAAGACGGCTGTACAACTATAGCGTCTCGCATGGACTCCAAATAGTCAAATATGTCGTGTTTATCCCAGCTGTTTGCTCAGAATCACCTAAGCCCCGTCCTTAAGACCATCATATGCTGCATTCTCTCACGGATCCTTGACTCCGGCCTTGCAAGTCGCTCAAACCCGATATTAAATCTTTGTACGGGCACCGCTTAGCGGCCCACGATGCAGTGTTGACACTGGTCGACAGAGATACGACGTCAACCATTTCCTACACTTTTTATGCATGAGAATGCAGGGAATCTTCTTTTTATAACGTTCTCGTTTAGGATACATGCATCGCTCTGAAGTTCTGTACCTTGTACTAGAGGTAGTAGCAAATACTCCCGAGAAACGTGCGAAGGTTACGTTGCACTGACTACATTCCTTATGATGATGTTATTGCTACTATTTAGCAGGATTATATCATATAAGAATCGTGTTAGATATTTTTATCTGTGTAAGATCAGATAAAATATGTATCTTTTTATAAACGCGTTGTGTTTATATTGTTTTGTTGACGCACGTAGCAGGTAGCATTGACTTAAGTGGGATTTGGTTTTAAGGTTAATATAAGTTCTTTATACTTGCAATGCATATTATCGTGTGTAACAGTGCTTGTTGTAATTGTTTTGTTTCACTCCACATTCACCACTATTGCAGCTATGTTCCAGCGGCTTGTAAATAATTGGAGTATTGACGAGACAAATCAGGTTTTGATAACATCATAAGAAAAGAATGGTGTCTATTTCTATCCCGGGACAGTTTTGATGAACGAAGGATTTGATAACCATTATGGTTATTGATAACATACTTGTATCACGGGATTCATTTATTTTACTATCTGTATAGTCAGTTGTCATACAAGTGCGTTCTTCATATACACTAAAACATGTCATATGTAGCGTTGTAGTGTGAATGCTATCAAGCGGTTGTGTTTTTCATATTTTTCATATTGCGAGTTGTTGTAGCACTTCGATAAGACAAGTTTTACGTTATTATTTACTGCTCTTTATATGTCTTTATTGTTATGCAGAAATCAGTGGGGTGATTTTGTGATTGTATTAAGGGCCATGTAAGCAATACCAAAAATACCCATGGTTACTCGAAGATCCATACAGCTGCAAAATTCAATATAATGTCTTACAATTCCACAGGGCATGTATGATTTTGTACTTTTGTATTCACATATGTTTTACATGTTGTTGTTTTTCTTGACTTATATGCAGCACAACCTCTGCACTTGTACACAGTAGAGTGAGTGAGTATGGTTTGACGCCGCTTTTAGCAATATTTCAGCATTATCACGGCTGGGAATATCAGAAATGGGCTTCACACATTGTACCCGTGTCGGGAATCGAACCCGGGTCTTCGGCGTGACCACTAGGCTACCCGACCGCCCCTATACACAGTAGAACTCATTCAACATTATCATATCGTTTTTAGTTTCATCAAAATCATTAAATGCACTATCGTTTGACTGGATTTCTGGTCCACAACTTTATTGTCTGGTTTGTTGTTCGCATGTACTGCTGTGTGGCGTCAGGGAAAAAACACTTATTTTTATATAAATTGTGTGTCTGGCGGGTACTACCGGTAGGGCAGTAAATGCTTACTCTTTTCCCGAACACCTGGTGTCATCACTGATTTTCACTGATCCATTCTGGACGGGATAAGGACCTCTTTGCACGTACAAAACACAACCTTATAGGGTAGTGGCTGATTGTAACGACATGCGCCTGGGCCTTTTTACATACACAAAACACAACCGTTGTCGGGTAGTGGCGGATTGTAACGACAAGCGCCTGGGCCTTTTTACATACACAAAACACAGCCGTTGTCGGGTAGTGGCGGATTGTAACGACAAGCGCCTGGGCCTTTTTACATACACAAAACACAGCCGTTGTCGGGTAGTGGCGGATTGTAACGACAAGCGCCTGGGCCTTTTTACATACACAAAACACAGCCGTTGTCGGGTAGTGGCGGATTGTAATGGCATGCGCCTAGACCTCTTTGCACCTACAAAACGCTTTTAAGGCTAGGAGGTCATGAAACATTTAGAGTTAAACCACATACTATTAAATATGTGAGTTGTTCCCTATGTACACTGGTGAATATCAATAACAACTGACAACTGTTATGTTGCAGTGGTCACGTTTTAGACACCCCCTAATACTATGGCAGAACATCTCTTTCCATTCAATACAGTAAATATGATCTATTCTCTAACAAGCTACTATTATGGCACGTGCAAATATATCGTGAATTCAACCAAAATAAATATGATAATTAAGAAAAGGTTTATTAAACATATACATGACCTACGCGATGTACCCATGACTTTATCTATAAAAATACTTACTTCTTTCTCTCTTTCACCAGAGAGTATATGACCATTGCAAAGAACACCACAATAAGCAGAATGACCACCACGATGACCCCGATTAGCCACTCGGGTAACCTCGACTCTTCCCCTCCTTCTGCACCACCAGGACCATGCTGAAGACGACAGAGCACATTGAAGGTTTGACGGAAAACATTGATAGGAAGGGATAACGGAAAAACATTGATAGGAAGGGTTGACGGAAAACATTGATAGGAAGGGCTAACAGAACACGTTGATTTGAAGGCGTAACAGCGTAGCACATGGATAGGAAAGACTAACGAACGTTAACACACGCACGAGTAAGAACAGAACACACGGGTAGGAGAGGCTAACGGACCACATTGATAAAAAGGGCAAACGAAACGCATTGATAAGAAGGGCTAACGGAACAAATTGATGTAAGGGGCTAACGAAACACAATGATGCGAAGGTTTAACGGGGGAAAATGGATAGGAAAGGCTAACGGAACGCATTGATCAGAAGGGATGACTATGACACTGCCTTACACGTTGCAGTTTATACGTATGTGAATGTATTGATGTGTTTGAGGGCAACCGATGACGCTTAAAGACATAAAATATATACAATTGACCCACAGAGCACATACTTCATTATGAAACGTTCTTAGCACTTATTAGTCACTGTGCATGAGTTAATCGGTACTAGTTATGAAATCTGCTTCGGGTATAAATATGAACAATTCACAGTACATGCAAATTCATAGCATAATTTTGCCGTGTCAACATCAAACATGACGCATCTGTTTCGAACACATTCCAACAATGTTTTAGCGTTAAGTTAGCACATCCTCTAATCAAATGCAACCCAATGGGAACAACATTCTTGATTTTATGGCTAAAAAAGTTGAACTAGTGTGATTGCGTCATAATGGGAACGATGTGATCAAAGGGATGATTCATACGAGTGCCACAACACAAGGTCGCACATGTTATTTAAGCAGAAAGATTAAATTGGACTGAAAATCAAATCTTTAGGACAACAACGGTTGTTTATTCCCACCGGGGAGAAATACAGTTATTGATTACAGCGTGTCTGGGATCTTAGGTCACCTTGCCACTTACTGGGGTCAAAGAGCGCCGAATCAACAAGGGTGATTGAAAATAACAATGGGAGAAATATGGCGGGTGTAATGTCGAAGTCAAGCTGGAACATTTCAATACGCACATGTGTGTCGCAGTTTATAGACAAAATAGAAATAAGATTACAGATAATATATATGTATGTCTTGGAAATTGAAAATACTTTATAGTCCACATCTTTCACATGAAAATGCAGAAGTTTACTTAATAATTATGTTACGTGCTGAAGACACCACCCAAACATGAACAACCCTCTAACCTAATCTGGAGACTGTAGGGGTTTTGTCTGATGCAATCGTTTAATGATTGTCATGCACGTATGAATTTATTAGTTACCTTAAGAACATGATTTATACAGAGGGATCAAGATGGAAAGAGTTTGTACTTAGGTCTTCGAGCAAAACACGGCACAGTACGACATAGCTGTTCTTATGTCACCGGAAAGCCATGCCTCTTAATAAGTAACATGGTAGTTAATGTGTAGGCCCAACAACATGCTGCAAAATGTTGCAAAATGCCTCTATTTCTATGGAAAAGCTTATTATTACCGATCTACATTCTGCTACGAGTCTTTATTCGTTTCATAGAATTAGGACTTACAAATTAGACAAAACAAATATTACGCCTTTCTGAACATAACATTTGCACGTTTAAGCGCCATGATCAAATGTAGACGCTTCAATGACCTGTCCGGCGCCAGTTTCAATACCATTATGGATATGGTAGCTTAAGACATTAAAAGCATTGTCATAAGTAAACAGCACATCAATCTCTTCACTCTATTTCAACTACCAAGTAAATATATTTGAGGCAAGGAGCTTTGTAGACATAATGATCGTGAAACTCATGAACTAGGTGCTAAATAACAAGGTTTGACCCATAGCCTAAATGCTTTGCTTTCTGAAGGATTTTCGCTTCGAAGGCAAAGAATGTGGGGATCTGAGCAAACGGTCGGAAATTCCCTTCAAATCCAATACATAATCCTGGAAACCAGATGTCCTACCTGAAGATCCAGAGTCTGCAGGTCAGAGTGAAAGAGTTTCTCTAGTTCCTCATAGTCCAGAGAGTCCATGGCATAGTCTCCAGCAAGAGCTGTTCGTACAAGCACTTCCACAACCAACTGGTCACCTTCGTTTGTCAGTGAGGTGACTTCCACGTCCTCTGTCCTGAAACACACACATCAAACTGGGACCATGACATCACTCGATCTCTGTGACGTCACGTCAGACATATTTGACCACGTGAAGATAACCAAACAGAGCATGTTTGTCATCCGAACCAGAGGCTTTGCTAAATTTGTCTACGCCTAATGTTAGACGGTTGACAGTATTTGATAATATCAATCTTTAAATGATGAGAGTACTTCTTTACACTTTTTTGATATATCAAACAGGTTGATTTGTAGCGTAGTTTAGTATTTGCGGAAATGTTCGAAGGTATTTTTTGACATTCTTCCCGATTTGAGAGTAAATGTTAAACGGGGAACGTGGCTAGTCCGTACTACCGTGAGAAGTTGCAGAGACTGTCAACCTTGCGCCCCTGTGAATGTCCGGAGCCACATAGAGAACATACTTCGACTGTCCCGCTTAAAGCCCCGGACAAATACAAGCCAAGCGCCTGTCGGGGAAAAACTCACCCGAACTAGAAACAACTCCCTTTACACGTATTTCGATTCAAAATTTTAACTGGAAATGTTCATTTGAGTAGGGAATATAATTCAATATTATCAAAGCGAAGATCATTTTCTACAAACTGACAATTCCCGGACACTTTTTATTAGTAAAAAATAAAAGTTCAGTTATCTGTTATAAAACCCCCCGATATTTTACTTTTATTTTATGAACAAAAATAAACGTTTTGAAACCTTGAAAGGCGATTCATCGGATGTATTTACTATAATCCGGGAGGCTAAAGAATGTCTGTGTGTGAGTTTCTTCCCAAAATGGGATAAAAAAAAGCCTGACCGATCCCACTGAAAAGAGGTAGAAGAAGTGCCAATACCTTTTTGTTCGTGCCTGGCACGATACTAACATCTATTGATGGATATTTGCAAACATGAGTAAGACTAATCAACAAAAGACAGACATGTAAATAGCATATATATTTCAGTCACTTACATGCACCTCAACAAAGGAAGGTCATTACTGATGTTATTTTACAACTCCTTTCACATTCTACAACTCATTAGTTGCTGTGATCACTTGCGGTAAAAGACCAAAATAGCCCCGAAACATTTACTGTGCCTATATGAATGGTTTCATTAAAGACAATGTAAAGATTGATATAGACATGGAAATGAGTTAAGCACCACCTATTTTGTGTTCATATATATTCAACTTCAATATCTATTGTAAAAACATCATTCATATGACACTGAACTCATTTTGGCAGATGTCTAACATACCACCGATATTAGACTAACATATAGTCACTGAATTAAAGTGCAAGGTTAAATAAACATAATTATATATAGGGACCCTCGATTATTAAGCACACTCAAGACTCCTAATTTCAGAGCTGAGAATGGGATGAGTGTAGCCTGATAGAGAAGGGGGTATATGTGGAATGGGGGTGAATGTTTTATTAAATATATGATCAGGAGCTGTAAGAGAGACTACAATAGATGCCTGTTGAAAAGTTGGTACAAGAGCACTGTATGTTTCAGGAAGCAACTGAAAGGGATGTCAATTACTAGTTACTATTACCATTGAAACGAAGTCATAAGATAACTAATTTTGTTTTATATATTTCAAAATGAGTACGCACTTTGTAATTAGGAACATAATATCTTCCGTCAAAAATTTGATACCGGATGTAAGTAAAATTTTGGCTATTTTATGTGGAAATATAAAGCAAGTGATGCTTTAACATTTTCCCCGGTGTATGGAAACGAATGGGCTGGTGGTATTCAAAATTGAATTTCAAAGACAAAATAAAACAGGTTACAATTTTTTGATAAAGTGCGAAAGAAAAATATTAGTTATGAGATACGATTTTCTAACCATGACATGTTTATGCAACAAGAGAAGTTACCGGTACATGTTCATTAAATGTACTTAACCAAATATCAATAGTAAATCAAGAATAGCAAATGTGAGAAAGATTACTTCGAAACCATGAGGATATATACTAGTATGTTAATGATAACGATGGCACCTCCCTATTCTGTAGAGCAACTTAAATGACTTCTTGTCAGGCGGATATAATAAACAACGGTGGATTCTGCAATTCGAATATATTGAGCGATATTTTGAGTTAATCAAGTTCAAAGTAATGAGGTTTTACTGTAAATGTATGTCATTCCACTGTATTCTGATCATAGTAATGACACACATTCGACTCCTGTTATGTTAACTTAATTTCAATTCTAATATGATGTTGACACGACTTTGTCCTTGCCATATCATTGACTTTAAACTTATTCGAGCGATATATCGAGTTCTTAGGTAATGTGGTTTCACTGTAAATAGATGGCATTCACCTTTCGCTCTTGTCATTTTTCTGACATTTTAACTCTTGTTATGTTCTTTGACTTTAAACATTTCTGACAATAAGGTCCAAGCTTATAAGCCTAAGTTAAATTAAACTCGACAAAAAGTGATGCTTTCAGTTATTATTTATGACATAATTAAAAGTGCAAGTTTTGTCGTGTCCTTAGGGGAATGCTAAAAACAATGCCATGAACTGCCTTTGTAAACATGCTGAAGCTAATGGAATGTTTGTTATGAATCGATGCTGCGGAAGAAAGTTGAAAAAATTGCTGAACAAACTAACGTCCAAATAGAATTCAATTACATCCACCAACTGAACGGACAAGAACATCTCCTTATCTAACAGTAATAAGCATTCTGTCACCTCAACATGGCATGTCTTTAATGACATACTTTTAATGAATGTTTGACGTAAACTACAAAAACACGGGTTTCATTGTTCTGAGGACAGTTCGACATTCAATTCATATTGTAAGCACGTGAGTACCAATATGATTTGACATTATTTCAATTCAGAAGCTATATTATTTGTTACCTTCAGCTTTATCAATTGTTTCTGAATAATAATGCAAAAGATAGCTTCATTGTTAGGAATCCGAATCAGATCATTCCATCATGGTGTGTCAAAAAATATAAGAAACATTATCCTTAAAATAATTATAATTCAGAAGAATGACACTATATATTATCTGTTTTATACTTTTTTATATAGTCTTTGAATAAAGCATATGTCTCATGTTTAAACATTGTATTTAACTTCATTTCATTGACATAGATTCAAAATAGATTTTTAATTTGGTATAAAGGGACTCATATGGAAACACAAGCCTGTTCATAGCAATTTTGCGTCACTACAGATTTAGGCATGCAATGGATGGCATAGACTGCACACTGCATCAATTGTGTCGATGATGCAAATAATGTTTGTTTGCTTTGTTTTTGTTTAACGACGCATTCCAGCTGTATGATGGTGGCCTGCGAGTAGGCGAGTCTGGACCAGACTGACCAGTGATTGATATTATGAGAAACGCCTCACGCCGTCGTGGTACGATGACACCTAATCAATAAAGTCACCTAACCTGACCAACTGATACGTTAAGTCCCCTGATCAATTCTGACATGGAATCCCCCCCTGGGGCACATTAGCCAAACCATGTTGGTATACATTTGGCACTTATTACTTTCTTCACTCCTACAAGCAGTGCCAACAAAAATGTTACGGAACTGGTTTAATGATTTCTCACCTGAGAGGTTTGTCACTTTCTTTGCAGGATGGGTTCGCTTGACATCTTTCATTGACTACCCTCGTTAATTCAGTTCGGAACTGAGTAAGTCGGGATTCAAACTGTTGGTTAAAAAACGAACGATGTTATTGTGTATGTAACATTTGGGTCAGGTAAATTGACAATAATGTGTTACAAACATTGAGTGAGTGAGTGAAAGAATAATTGGTTTGATTTGTTTAAAGCCAACTCATTGTGGTAGGAAAGTTTAAAATGACGAAGATACTTTACGTTTCCCGCTTGTTTCTCACACGGTGTTAATCACATTCTCTTACTCACTGCCATTGGGACAACTAAGCAACCTTTTTTGCTCCTCCTTTCCTGCTGTTCCGCACTATACATATTGCTAAAAAGTATTATGCCTCTTGATTATGCATAGATATATCCATCCATACCTGTTCTTTTTGCACACCAGTAAGTCTAAAGATGAGGACATCTTTTCGTGGAACTTGGTCTAACTTGTAGTTATCCTCAATCCTGACGCCCCTTGGTGTTGTGGGTTGTTCTACAAGAACATTTGATAATTATGTCAATACTCGTCTCGTCTAAATCGAATTCATTAGCGGCCAATGAGTGAATAATTTAGTTTATTTAACGCATCGATGAAATGCTTCACAATTGCGAATGAAGACCTGTGTCGAAGGAGAAGGCACTTACACGGTAACTTATAACTGGTATAACGGATTTATTGTTACATGTCTCAACGTATGACACGACGTCCCTGTGTATAAACATGTCGTCTATACGTATAACACATACATATATCAATATATCACACAACCGTCATTGTGTGGGTCAAATCCTGTACATGGTGTTATTCATTAATGTACAAAATGTAAAATGTAAAAAATCTCGGTAAATTGTTTTCCTAGTATCTTTTCCAAAAATAAACGTTTCTAAGGATACGGCATGTGTATTCTGCATGTGATTCATAAGAGACGTTTACATAAAATCTTCTTTTTTTTCAAAACTTTCAAATTCATACAATACATTTTGCCAATCGATTTTCTCTTTTGCTAACCATATTATTGCCCGTAGATATCGATATATACTCTCGACCTTTGAACATTAGTACGTTATTTGAAGAGAGATATCTGCTGGTGAGAGCAAATGTCACAGAACGGGGACGACCAATAACGGTAACACCAATCTACAGAAAACGCCAGTACGAATAGGAATTTTACTGCGTGGGTGATTAAGAGTACTAGAAGAAGACATCTCTCATACTCAGGAGCGATTACTGAAAAAGATGGAGTTATTAAAACAACGGCGGTAACTGGAACTGGGGGAATGTAAAGAACGTATATTCCGTCCGTGTTGTAACACTTGCCCCAACATGACAATATCAACTCGCTGAACCATTCACCATCAACATCGTCACGTTCGGTTTTAATGATAAAGAAGCTTGTTATGCCAGCGTTCCAGTATACTCTGTCGTAGGTGATCACGTTTCATATAAAAAAGTGTGATACAAAATATATATACAGGAAGTATATTAATTCTTAAGATTATGAGCTAGACAACCACTACCTTTATGTGGACAACAGACCACCACATAATCCAAGGTGATGTGAAGTAGTGTCAACGCTATTGGGATATAAAAATGTAACACGGTACGGTGTTCCCTTGGGTTCATGTGAAATTACTGATTGTGATCCCGCCACGCCCATCGTCAGCAAAACACTAGGTCATTTGAATAATATTACATAAAGAAAAGAAAAGGGTTTTTGTGTTGTGGGCATTTGAACAAATTACAGTGTGACAAATAATCACATCTGCACTCCGTGTGTTTCCAATAGTATATGCAATGTAAAATATGCATAACATTGATTAAATATGACTTTAAAATAGCATTTGCAATAATTTTATCATCATTGGGTGAGTTTGTCTCCGGATTATGTACTCTAGTTTTAAACATTAAATTGGGTTCTAGCTGTACTTGTATATTTGTTAAAGCTATTAATTCATTTAATATGCAAATATGACAATATAAACAAAACATGTATATACACGTATACAGAGATAATTTTTTTAATAAAAATATTAATTCTTAAGTATTTTCCGGGTTATTTTCAAAATCTGATGACAAACTCTAAACGTTTCTATCACCAATACGTATGTATTTTTTGTGCTCAGTTAATTGTATATACAGAATGTGCAAATATGACAAGAGAGATGACATATCTGTACACACGTATACAAAAAGAGGATAAAGATGTTCATTCGTAAACGAACAAATAAATGGGTTTATAATATTACACATATGAACAAAAGACATTCAAGAACATGCAAGATTGATACACTTACCATCAAGATCCTTCTCAAAGACACTGAAGGAGATATTAAATCCCCTGTATCCATCACCCCCCATCAGATGATCTGACGTGAAGTGCAACCAAGCATTACTGGCCTTCACAGTCAATGTGAAGGACCGGGTGATGTTCCCAGTGTAGGTAGTGAATGGACCATCGAAAACTTCTTTACCTTCAAAGTGGGAATATGAAACACTGTGTCAACTCTTGAGTAAAAGCACACTCTCATGAAACAAATTATACGTGAATATTTCGTTTCCAAGGTGCGAAAAACTAGTACCACTAGTAGGACATGGAATGCAGTATGAAGATTTATATACTGTATGAGTGAGGACTGGAACCCGGATCTTTGACATTATGAACACAATTTTCGACCGTCCTTCTATCTTCTATCGTCCTTAATCAGGTTATTGTGTTTATTAGAATATGTAAAGGGATTTCATATTTTGTTGATGCATGCGTTAAAGTTTCTGCGTTGTAGTAGTAAACAATTGCGATTTCGATGTTTTCAACAAACCTTGACCAACAAGAACGAAATCGCGGCCATCTTGGATCCTGAGGTCGTGAAAGGTCATATTTATGTAGGACCCAGGTTGGCCAGCGATGGTCCAGGTACACTCGCTGTTAATGGGGTAGGGTTTCGGATAGTTGACTGAAGTGATGGCACCACTTTCAGAGTCGAACACATTGCTTGTATTGCAGATAGCTAACAATATAAAGTGAAAACGCTGATTAACAATATCATTTCTAATTGACACAAAATATCACGGTTCCGTATGGTTTTACTGAAACACGTTACTTTGTATACAATATCACTACTACTAATAAAACAATTATCCGAATGTGGATTATCATTAAATATAAGAACTATACATATGTTCCATTGCTTCATTATCACAACATTATGTGGAATGCAAAAAACCTTAACAAACCTCTTGGAATAATCTTGTAACGGATAAAGAAACCCTTAGCAGTTATTGTGTCATCTGAGTAGAAGTTTATCCACAAGGAGTTGGCGGGGACTATGGTCTCCCTCTCATGAACAAGATCGCCAAAGAGAGTAAGGAGCCTGCTAGTTGGAGCCTTAGCTAGGAGGCCCACACCAATTCGGACTTGGTCGTATACTTCAGTTTTGAAACCCATGATGCTCATCTGGATAACAGAGTGGGCCGGGGCAGCGATGTACCAGGTACATTCCTGAAAGGACAGAAATTACTTTAATTTCATGCAACAATATTCACAAATATTATGAATATGTGGCAACACACGAAAGGATGAAAGGAAATTCGAATTTAGTAGCATTTGTAATTATGTGAAGCTGTTAACTAACTTTTCCTTTTTCCCGATCATCTTTATCAGTTCGATATGTTTTAGTTCGTCATGTACGTAGAAAAGGGAAATGGTTCCTCTCTCACAGTAACATGTAAGTGTAAAATGTTACGTAACATTTCTAATTGTTTTAATTTACCTTATGTTCGCACGCTGTACCTTAACTGATAAGCCATCTCCGAATATAACTGACACCAAGGTACATCTTCAGTTCTAAGTATCTGACGTTCAGCATTTGTAAGGTTAATACTATTAACCGTTCAACTGTAAAGCGATTAGCAATTGGTTAGTTTTAACCGACGGTTCGTGATATCCGACTTCGTTATATCCGGTCTCTTTACCTCGTTAGTGGAGTAATTCCTGTCGGGGTATCCGGGAGACGAGACGTTGCCCTCCATGTCGACCAAAAGACCGCCACAAGTTGTATTGTCAGATACAGGGAATGTGCTGTCTGAAATAATTACGGATTCAAATATTAGATTTTGCTACATAGGCTGTTAATAGCATTTCTTTATTATACAATATCAACACAAAGTGGACACAAGAATGAAACCGGATGAACAGGTACAAAGGTATACATACTTTCATTTGTTTCCTCAAACTCAAGAGACACTTGCGTAAATCCATCCTTTTGCCTTGACTTAAGTGTCAGCCACAACTCTGTTCCCTTTACAATTATATCCGCTGGCAGTTTGGTCCCCGTGATAAGCCTCGTAGCTTTATTTCTGGCCATACCTACTGCAAGTTCCAGATACTCGGATCCTAATTCCAGTTCCAACTTTCTAAAATGGAGTTTTATATTTGGTCCGACGGGGGTTCGAACTCTCCATTTACATGTCAACACCTCCGATGAATTTGCTCTGGGTAGATTGTCCGGAAAGATAATCTCCCCTGACGTCCTTGACACATCATAAACGCAATCAGTGAACTTAGGTGAAGATGTGGAAAGATCCTGAGAGATCCCTCCCGATGAGCCTAAGGTGGAATCAGCGTAATGGGTTTCTGCAACCGTTGTCTGGCTAACGGTACTGGTATCTACATTTGGTGTTACAGACTCATATTGTGTACTAGATTCAGATATAACATGACTTGAATGAGAATTAAAATGCCGCGTTTCAGAATATGCTGTTTTGGGTTCTGAATTAGTAGTTTCCCGCCATTCCTCTTCATTGGTACTATAAAAGGGGTGTGGATCAGTGTTAGATGATTTACTATCATCACTATAATAGTCGTATTGGTAGTGCTCAGTTGTACCAGAATCTGCATAACTACCTAGACTAGAGTCAGAATTCTGTGTACTACTGTCACTGGATTCATACACGTCGTTTGTTTTCTGAAAGAAAGTCCATTCAATCAGAGGTGAGTCCGTGAATCTCCTTTCCAGGTGCTGTCCGGTTGACCATGTCTCGCTGAACTGGTCCATCGAGGTACCCGGGGGCCTTTGTTCAGCTGAAAGGATCATCATCATCATCATCATCATCATCATCATCATAATCATCATCATCAATTGCCTCAAAAGACAGGCAAATATCTTTAGACTTTGGCTATATTGCACTTGTATAAACTATTGTCCCTTCAACATATGATTCACACGTAAAACCTGCAAAGAGTAAGGCAAGGCAAGCTGTGCTCATATATCTTAACAGGCACATAAAATGTGGATTTGGCTCTAAGGTCCCGTTGGCATTTGTTGAAAGAAAATGAAAATGTGAAGTTCTACTCTGGGGCTTATTGGTTCCTTAAAAATTATCAAGTCACATAAACCGAATCGTGTTTCTCGTCACTTGGGATGGAAGGAAGAATTTAATTTTTATTTCTATTCCCAAATACTCAAAACCAAATTCATAGTTGTACTAAACAAACCTTCAAGGCTTCAAAGCAACAACATTTCCTGACTTGATCATGAACGACATAACTCGTGAGGCCAGAATTTAAGGAAGAAGTTCAAATTCGGAATTAAAAGTAACCCTAAAAGCGAGGAACCGGAACAGAATTTAGCTTGGATTTTTTTTAAAAAATACTTTAGGGTCGGGCCGGTTTTTATGGGCGGTCGGTGATGAGAAAAGATATAAAAAATGTAGCTCAATACTTTCCCCGTGGAAACAGAATAGTGTGTACATGTATGTACTATAGTTGAGGTTTTTCTTTGTTAAGGTAATTGTTTTTAACGTGATTTTGGTACTGTGTCTTTCTCAGTGGATCACATCTTTTCACATGTAGATTTTGTAATGGCGCTGCGCATCTGTTTTACACCTTGCAGATGTAAGTCAGACATGGTCGAGTTTAATTCTTCCAATACGTTACAGACATTTCTAACCCAATGATGATTATGTTTTAGTTTAACCCATCCTGTGAATGCTACCGTTAAGCCATGGCTACAACAACATTTGTAGGCGACAAAAGAAAAATAATTATGTCAAAACACTTGAATTTTTAACTTTGCACAACACTATCCCACACGACAAGGAAAAACGGCATTCCATGATCCCTGGGGCACGTGGCCCTAAACGTGGCAACTATAGAATTCCTGCTCGGATTGGCGAAAACAAAGGGATGTGGCCAAGATGTTTAATTCAAGGTTCAGGTATATCATTAATTAATGGTCAAATAGCCAATTCCCTTGCATTGATTGAACTACAAAAAGAGACAAGTGTAGGAAGTAACAGAGGCCAATGAAACCGTCTCATCTGTTTCATATTTATGATATATGCAATCAGATTAAGTTACAAATATACTATCCACAAGGCTATATCGAGCAATATCTTTCTACGAAGATTTAATAGAGGGTCATATGACTCCTGTTCAAAAGTTATTTGATCAAGGTTACAACATTCAAGGCCTCATGTCCAAATTCGACGCATCAGTGACAAAATGATATCTGATGCAAATCCCTGTTTTGACTTGTGCCATATGTTCCATGTTTATTCAGGTGAATTGTCCACTAAACCTTTACATGTGTTTATGACTCACACAGATGGAGCAGAATACGCTCATCTTTCGCGAAAACCTTGTATCATCACTATTTGTTAGTGATTCATAAACCCGTACTTATGATATAGTCGTACAAAGGTCTCTCCTTTTAGGAGAGACTTCTTATGATAATGGAAAGAGTTTTTTCGCGTTATTTATCTATATCAACATGATGTTCTCTTACCGGATGATAGCACAAGTGTATCCCTGAATCGTCGTTAGAAATAACAAGTTGTTATCCAAATACGATCGTGTCTTCGAGAAACATTCATTTCTACAATTAATACCTTTTTACTGTTTAGGGTGAATGTAATACAGTAACTGCTTGGCAAAACTATTATTGCTTGACACAAAGCATTTTATTTATTCTTTGCTAAAGAAAAGTGTAACCAGTATTGTTGCTTGACATGTGGGGTTTGTAAATACAGAATAGTAAATAGTGATCATTATTGTGGTGATTTCCTCATTCCGCTAAGAAACTAAACATATCGCGGAACACACTGAGTGTTATCTTTAAACTATAATAACAAAACGTGTAAAATTTCATAACTCGGTATATGAATATAGCAATTTATTTAGCAGCAGAATGAAAATTTCAATTAGTAAATACATGGTTCCGAATTAAAAAAATATATATAACTTTAAATCAGAAAACGTATTTAAACTCTTGGTACATCATGTAGAGAAACATAAAGAGATTTTAATTTTTACATACATGGACCTATGTTGACTGGACACGTGGCTCAAATAGGTCAAACATGATTAAACTTTGGTGAAGTAAAAACCAAGAAAGAAACCGTTAAGTTTTTAAATTTCGAAAGCACATAACATGTTCTAGTGCATGAAAACAACGGACATATTTACAATGTCCCATGAGTGACGGCGGTGCACACACTTATCGACCCACCGGTTAATCTCTTGACATTACAGCGAAGAGTTGCTCCATTCTCACCAACATCCATAGGGATTTTACATATTTCCCTTTTGCTTCAACAAACACGAATCTTTTTTATTAGCGTAATTTGTTGAGAAATAGCGTTTGATCGCTGATCCTCGCATTGGTAAATAAACACATCTGCGAGAAGTAGCAAAGTCTTCTTTGAATCAAACGCCGAGTCGCCGGTTGGAAATTGCGACCAGGTGAGCAAAAATACAGGAGGCCTTCGTCTTGCCTGATCAATGTCATGAACGACCGAAGCGACCCATAAATACTCACTTGAATAGGAGTTGGCTTTATCATTATTTGTTTGTAATTTAATCAGTATAAAACGAATGTGAGTAAAACGTTGATTTATAAATTTTACATGCGAGTGTGCATATGGTTTTATCGATAAGACGACTGTATGATGATCATATATACATGATAATTGAAGTGGCTAGTTTATCGAGCATATTAGTGTGTTTCTGTGTCGTTTACTGGTATATCATTTCTCAGGGATAACAATTGTGATTAGAGAATATTTTTCGGCTGACATATGAAAGCAAGGGCAAGCAGTGTACAATACTGCCTGCCTAACGTGTCCTTAACAATGTTCAAAAAATGGTTATAAGTCAGAACTACCCACACAACAGCATGATGTACTCATGTTTAATGAGTACTCAACAACAAAATTCATTGTTGAATAATTTAGCTCTATTTTGAAGTAGTTTTGTGTCATGTTTGTCAAATGTCACATGGATAACAATAAAAATATTGTGTTATGAAAATAGATACGCAACGTTGAAAAGAAGCATTAAATGATATGATCATTTATCTTCAATTTCATAACTAAAGTATATAGCTGAATGTGAGATGTACCAACTGCTGTCCACTTAATCTTAGCTGCCCCATACATCTACGTTCTTGTGACACTGCATACGTAACCTTAACGTAACAAAACATTGAAGTAACACTGGCGTTACAGGCGTATCAGGCATAACACACAGTTTAAGCATGCCATTGTTCACATTGTCCCCCAATACGTAACGTGCACTGACGGATGTTGTAGCATTGAGAAGGAGGTGAGGCGAGGTGACCTGGTTCAACGTCGCTTTCAAGATATAAGTTATATATTGACGTTCATGCACGTGTGTGTGTGTGCGTGTGCGTGTGCGTGTGCGTGTGCGTCCAGACTAATGCTGGTTATATTGTGCTAACTCACTGAGATTTCATACCGCAGTTTAACATGGATACCCCTTTCAGTATACTGACTCCGAGCCTACCAGTTCGTGTTCCATCCCCTTAACGCCGCGCATCAGGCATCTTGTGGTATGACGCGACCGGGGGATCGAACCACCGACTTTACGCTCTCCCGGTAGACGCCCATGGATGCGGTCTTTGAGGAGGAAGATGAATTGTACGGAATACCACTATCATTTAGCAATATTCTGTCTTCATAACAAACATAACGGCTGTCGTTTCCATGTATCTTATGTATGCAGATTGGTGTCAATATTAAAGCTATATTATTCTTCCCATTAAGCAATTGACCATAATATAAACTGCATGTCTTGGATCGGCCTCGTTGGTCCCGAAACTGTCGATGGTGCCAAGCACTTCAAGTTAACGATGTACCATTCTGCTTATTAGTTCTTTAGTAAAATAGGGGCGGTCGGGAAGTATAGTGGTAAAAGCGTTCGCTCGTCACGCCGAAGACCCTGGTTCGATTCCTGACATGGGTACAATGTGTGAAGTTCATTTCTGGTGTCGTGATATTGCTGAAATATTGCTAAAAGCGGTGTAAAACCATACTCACTCACTCACTTTAGTAACATACCTTCCTGTTTTCTTTCAAAAATATATTAATATGTGTAAACCTACCATTATAACATCAATTATGTTACTATTGTAAAATGAATGTGAGTATGTTCTGCAATTTGACTTTTCACTCACTATGATTACTCTTCATAGACAAGTATCCTTTTTCCTCAATCCCAAATCTGAATAAACATACACACTGTGAGAGATACAGGCATTACTTACAACACACATATAATATACCTCACAAAGCATATAACTCTACGCTTTCTCATACTTCTGACGACTTATCAGAGGTGTCACTTTCAAGTATAAGCTACAACCCTAAATGTGTGTTTTCCAGGATAATCGGCGTCTGATAGCAGGTAAATAAGAAAACAAAAGAAATTACTTTTCAGGCTTAACATTTCAATAGGAATATACCGTTGTTGCGTAAAAGTAAGCGTTGCGTCGTTTGACCTTCTTGTGATATTTGCTATGGGCGTTAGACTGCATGCCTCTGGTAATGGGAAAAACGACGTATTTCCTTTGTTAAAGACAAGAGAAAACATACGTTTTCTCGCGTATTTGTTATTTTCTGTATTTGTGCTTTGACAATTAAAGCAATTAATTTCCTTCTCTCAGTTCTATTATTTTGGAGTATTTATTATAATTAGGAGAAACGTTTCGTTGTAGGTTCTAACAGCGTTATCAAGCAAGTACTTGAAAACGGTGTTAGAACCTACACCGAAACGTCGCTCCTAATTGTAATAGTGACTTAAAATTTTAACTCACTCACTCACCTAATTGTAATAAAGAAGTTGTTCATCTATATATCTTATCCTTACCTAATTACGTTCCTGTTTATTTCACGATTCATATAATTGAATCACTATTGCTTTTTATGAACAGACTTTTATATATTGGTGTATGTACATGAAATTGAGCATTATGTATCATAATTTTAAATACTTGTGCATGCACATGAAATTGAACATTAAGTATTATACAATCATATAGAGGTATACGGACATGAAATTGAATATTATAAATTATACGTTTATTCAATGGTAACTGTACATGTAAGTGACCATTGTGTATTAAACTTTTATTCAGCGGTGTATGCTCATGGCATTGAACAGTTTGTATTATACTTTTAAATATTGGTGCAAGTAAATGTAATGGAACATTATGTATTATACTTTTATACAGTCGTGTACTAGTATGTACATGGAATTGTACAGTATATAGCATTCATGTACTTTTATATACTGAACTGTATGCAAATGGATTTGAACATTATGTATTATACTATTATATAGTGGTGTTTATGTATGTACATTGAACTAAACTATATGTATTTTACCTTCATATACCAGTGTATGTACATGAAATGTAATATTATGTATTATATATATTACTATACGAGCATATCTGTCATACTGAATTTACGAAACGACTGTCAGAATTATTGTTTCTTCCAAGCGAGAGCGAGGGTAATACATGCATTCTTACACGACTTTCGTAAAATCAGTATGACACACATGCGTGTGTAATTTCTTTATTAACAATTATTTCTTTATCCGCTCGAGCCCTTTTTAACCTTTTAGAAAAAAATGCATTGATCACGTCTAATTAAACCACAAATGTCGAATGACGTCAATCATTTTCAGCTATGACGAAGTTTCTAGTGTGACGTTATTCCAAACTTTTGATTCCAAAAACATTTGAATGACGTCAACAATGATGATGTAAACAATTCACTAGTGCGTTAGAAATGACATTTGCACTCGTGCACCTACGATTTTTATGAACTCGGTTATCTCTAACCCTATGAGTAATAAAGTTTTATACAATCATTGGTGTATGTACATATAATTGAACATTATGTATAATACAATGGTGTATGTACATATAATTGAACATTATGTATAATACAATGGTGTATGTACATATAATTGAACATTATGCATTATATTTTGATATAGTGGTTTATGTACATGGAATTGAACAGTGTGTATTATACTTTTATATACTAGTGTATGTAAATAGAATTGAACATTGTGTAACATAAGATACAGCACAAAATGGATGCTATCATCATAAGTACATTTTTCTTCCGGCATTCAATCTTATTATCAAATTGAACCATGTGTTAACATTTAAAAGCTTTATAAAGCAACAAAGGCACAGAGTATGACATCGTGCCTCTCATTAGCTCCATCTCCTTAAACTGCATTTACAGGATTACCACAAACTATCGTCACCGAGGCAAGATATTAAACACAAGTACTTCAGAGAACATTTGTCACTCGTCCAAAAGCATCTTCGAATGAACAATTTGTAAAGCATTTTGAAAATATTTGCTTCACATTTGTTACCTCAGCAGATTATGAACACGTTACATTGTTGACCATGTCATATACACTGTATACCTCAGCTAACGTTCTTTGGGTTTAAATAAGAATATGCAGAGGCTTAATATTGAAAACTAAAGAATGACCAATTCATCGGTCATAGTTTATGCTTGTAAAGGAACTAAGATATATCCTAGAGTCTATATGATCTGAGCGTGACTACATACTGGATCGATACATTTTACACGTCTTTGTGGGATAAAAAGGAATTGAAATGTAACTTTCACAGGGGCCAGCACGCAAATTAAACATAAGCTCTCATGTACAAATATGTACATTTCAGAATGTCGATGTTTTCAATTAGAAAAACGTTTTGTTGTAGAGTCAATGCTGACTGGCAGATATAGAAGAAATGTCCAACTATATATCGACAAAAATAGTATAAAACACATACTGTACGAATACCGTTGTAATCAGCAGTTATTCATAATTTGGAAGGGTCTTTAGATGTATGTTATGAAATAAAATAGATGAACTTACCCAATAACATTTGAACAGAGGATTGTATTTTTCTCTGCTGCTTATCATTATGATGGATATGCACATAGTATACATTGCACAACATTAAACCGTATGCTAACATTACAAAGAAATCTTACCTGTAGTAAAACTATCAGTTGATATATATCCAGGTATTGTGAAACTTATTACAGCTATTATTGCCGCCATTGCCATCTTTGTGTAATGCCGAACTCTCGGATAAATGGCTCCAACTATTCGTCCCCGTTTAATATTTCTCTGTCTTTGGCGTTCGGTCTTTAGTCAACTTGGCATGGAGGTCCCCACGGTACGGTACTGGCTGTCAAACTGTCAAATGGTTCCTCCTCGAAGTCTAAACACTTCATATTTGTCCGAATGTCGATTTGAGATTAGCGGCGGATATCCGCCATTTCGTTGGCTAGGGAGGATTTCTCAAACGATTGACAAAGATTATCCGCCTTTTTCAGACATTTGGCGATCAGAGGGTCTCTGTACTTTCCCGAAAGTGCGCGAGACGAAGGGGATCAATGTATTTAGGCATGGTTAGGATTGCAGGGAGTTCTTCTGTCACTCACTTAATCCTGACAAACTGGCATCCTCGCCTTACACTCGCAATTATTTGGTCAACAGTTTGGGTTTTTCAAGCAGGAACTCCTGGTATTCTTTGGAGCTCAAATTAGGTTTGCTCTGCGTGCAAATAAACCTTTTCTCTCAAACATAGATTCTGAATAAGTTAATTCTAAACACCAATAGAACACAATTTTCCTCTTATGAATGCCATACTCCCCGCATCGTGGCTATCATATATGAGAATTCCATGTGGATCAATGGTGGGTTCGAAGGAACAAATCAAAGCCTATGTGAAAAAACATAGAGCATATAATAAGAAACACTAAGAGCATCTGTAGGTCCACCTTCTCCCAAAATAACAACAAATGGACCCATTGTTTCGGGTAAGGGCTTGTCGATGTGGTTCTAAAGGCTTGGTATTGTATAATTAGCTTTGGGGATTCTAGATGAAATATGTGGAACTTAACGTTGGCGTGCTAGTCGACAAATTAGACAACAACTATGGTACATACGCCCATTTAAATAAAAGTTGGAAAGGTTTTTCTCGCTTTCAAGTTTGTAGAGAGGTCTTGTGGTATCCCTCAAACACGGACTGGGAGAAACAGCGCAAATTATCTGCGGGAATGTTCACGTGATCTTTGCAGCACTGTTTTTTTTCTTTAAAAAGACTTTCTCATATGCTGGAAATACATTTACTAACGTATTTCAGTACGAGTTGCATTTGCGTTTATTGAAAGAGGAGCGTACAACTGGAAAGACACGATTTGTCTGTTATTTGCAAGAACGATTACAATGCATGTTAATAATACATTTTTATATCTCCCCTTGTATCTCCCTCCGTTTGAGGGCAATATTCTACAAAAATATATCATGTCGAAAAAAGAAATAGAAATCTTAAGAATTTTATGTAACATTCGTATTTATGTTTAAGTTTCTAGGCCACTTCCCCCTAGTTGTGACATGTTTAGTCTCATTTTATTTGTATTTCCATGATCAATCAAAATAATACATTTAATATTGAATACCCTGTTATAAAAAATGCTCGTTATACACTGGTGATTTAACATCAACATAAACATAAAACAACGCATATAAAAATGCTTACAGACTGAGATAACTTATCACACATTACTGTAAAATACTTTCAGTAAATACAAATGTAAAGTCCCAGGACATGTAATGCATTCAGTGCATTTTTTTCTTTTCGTGAACACCTGGTGTCATCACTACTTGTCAGTGATCCATTCATGTAATGTTCATCCCTATTTTGCCCTTTCCGCCCAATGGAATCTGTTTCGTGGGATAATCGAGACTGGTTATTGTCGGGCGTTGACGTTTTATATTTCAATGAACATCTAATTGGAAAAAAGAACAATCCAACACGAATAACAATATTATAACACGTTGCTTTTCGTGTGTTTGGGATTAACAGCATTTTCCTTGATATATCTATATGTCTTAATTTTGTATTATTTTGTACTCCTGTCTTGTATTAAACCATTAAACGTAAGAAATATATCCTGATATGTATTTTCGTGTTTTAGCAGTGCAATGTCAAAGTGCAATATACACATTGCACGTTCATTCCATTGTGGGAAAGTGGATGAATATGTACTTTCCCATGAGACACAAACACTCTTCTAGGTCTTTGCTTTCTAAATAATCAAATGCCATGAATGCATTCAATTTGAGAATGGACAATAATGGGATAAATATATAATCATGGAGGATAAATGTGAAGTTACCGTCTAAGAGGCATATCTCCTATTGGGTTAATGGCTTTTATCAACATTTTATGTCCCGTTTAACGTTGTTTCTAGGAACTATACATAAAAAATTCATATATTCTCAATAAATAACACAGAACTCATTGATTTCTGTAGGTGTAGGTGAGGTGAAATTGGGTTTAACGTCGCGTCCAAGATTATTACACTTATATAGCGACGTGCATGTACGTGTGTGTGTTTGTGTGGCTGCTTGTACTAGACCGGACTGATGCCGATTTATAGTGCTAGCTCACTGAGATACCATGCCGCCGTTGAACATGAATACCCCACTCAGACACAGTATACTGACTCCGAGCCGACCAGTCCTTGTTTTAGCCCCTTAATGCCGAGCGCCAGACAGGGTAACAACAAGTACCATCTTTTAACGTCTTTTGGTATGAAGCGGTCGGGGATCGAACCCCGGACCTTCCGCTCTCCGGGCGGACGCTCTACCACAAGACCACGGAGGCGGTTCTGTAGGTGTAACTTCAGTTTCACTTGATATCAATAAGGAAGTCAATGCGATGGTGTGTCAGTGGCTGAGGTTTACCAAACAGACCACTGTTGATTATGTGATCTAACTTCCATCGGAACATGTGCTAAAGAGAAACAGCTGATTAAAACAGAAGTCTGTTTACGGGAATTGTTGTATTAGTAGTATTGTGCAATCGTACTTGGGCCAATACTATTCCTCTTTGGGAAATGATGTTACCTTGCTGCGGATGTTATCAGATCTTACAAATAAAGTCTCACAAACAGATTTAAATACACGAATTTTATTTATTCAAGACCTCCGCTGTCTATAAACGCCTTCGTTTTTGTACACTATAGCTTCTAAGACAAACCATCAGATATATATTATGTAATCATGGCATCAGACTCGAATCCATAGCCTTGCACTGTATTTGAATATTGCTTGTGAGATCACCAGCGCTGTTACGCTTCTAATTGTTTTGGACGGGTATCTGTTCACGGAAGCATATAAGTGTAAAAAAGTCCTCCCTCTGAACATACAACAACTATTCCCCACCCAGCTTGGGGGATAAAGTCCGCTTTTTCCTCCGCAGCAGTCGCTTCAAGGAACCCCAGGCCCCAGCCTGCTCTTGGCTGATGCCTAGAGAAGGCTGTTGTTTGCGTTGTCCTTAAAGAATTTACTTTGTTGTTTTAAGCTTCAAGCTTTCTTTCTCTAATCTCCGTCTGGGAAATGTGATTATTTTTACTGTGCTCGACTAAATTTATTTTTTAATTTATTTACAAGCCGTGGATTTTAAGTAGGCCTGCTCACCAAAATGGTTTGCAAACTATAAAAGAAGAATGTACATTTACGTATACCAGCACATTTATCATATTATAATTGCAGTTAGAAGATGTTTCTATATTTCTACTTTAAAATTTGAAATAAATATGGTTTATATGAGAGAAATGATCACATATTCTGTAAAATACTTTCGGGCTATTGTAAATTCTTATGACATAGTTCTTGTGATTGTAGAAAGGGTTTTGTTTAGGGTTAATTAAATGTAGTTTCACCCTGAAAGTATGTTTAGTACATTGACAAATGATAAATACGTGGGTACATCAAACATCGCTCTTACTGCTACTTCGTTGACAACTGACAATGTTTAGTAGGTTTAATTCAGTTTTGTTCAATCAACAAAGTAGACTCAAATCCAACATAAAGATTTTCTTGCAGTTTGTATTTATTGTAACACTATTTAAATCCGTTCGTATCAATTATCCCAGTTGATGTGGTACTGAAAGACAATTGATTATATGTGTATGTAATAGATTATATTAGTTAATAATCGAGTACAACATTAGTTTCGTCACTTAAAAAGGGAGGGCTATTTCAAACGCAATCTTTAGATGTACATGAAACTAAAGTGCGGCGTCAAACGAGTGCAATACTGACTAATGCAGGAAACGATTTAAATATCTTTGGAGATCCATGGTATTTATTTTCAGTATTGCCTGGGTCTCCTGTCAACGATACCTCGGATTGATGCTGGCTCAGCTCTCACAACCCAACACAAGCTAACAAAAAATGTGTGTGTGGATAAATATTCTGGTATTCCAAATTGGTTCTGAAATAGCTGTTGTGCAATTGCAACCATTGTTATCGTTTCTGAGCAGTCCCCCGCGACGCACTACACACAAAAAGAGATACCATTTAAACCTTGTACATGTATGTCAAATTCCAAAGAGTTCAAATGTCACGTATATTCACTGTAAGCCAAAAGGCATGTTGTCTTTTTATTAAAAACAAGTCATGGCACACGGCACGAGGAGAATGCGAACAAGGGCAATACAACAGCAATCTAAACGGCGTTCTTTGTATGCCTTTAACGGGCGATTTAAGTCGATCGGTAAACAAACAACGCGACTCTGCTTTTGTTTGCATTAATGATTCTCCCTCTCGAGTATTTGTTGCAAAACAATAGAATTATTTGCAAATTGGAAGTGTTGAAATGAAATCTCTTAATAAACAATGATGAAGTTAATACAATTTTGAAAGCAAACTCGTTGATTCCCATTCACATCCGCTAATTTACGGATCACCTATTACCTAGATCCCTTATTACCGCTTGAGGTAATCAAAGTTAACATCACCTAAAACAGGCATTGATTTACGTTGGTAGTGTCCATTATTGAGCACACAGGGGAACCAGTACTGCGGTTGCGCAATTCATAGTTGGTTATTGCTTTGCTTTTCTGCATATACTGGTTTAATTTCCATGTATCACGTGTTGTGATTTCTGAGGAAAACTCGACTTGGCTTTGTATATGATCAGTGTCTTCTGAAAACTTGCCCAGCAGTGTGGCCACCCCTTAAAAACTCAAGTGTGGGGTTTTCCATTCCCACATCACCTCATTACCTAGATTCAGTCAAACGTGGTCAACCCACATCACCTAATTATTTTTCCCTTTCTTTCACTTAAACATTAGTCGAAGTTGGTGGACCAGTCAGTCGATGGTTGTCAGCTTGCCTACTTGTAAGCATGAATATTCTCTCATTTGACTTAAATAACATTTTCATAATGTTGTATGGCGTGGGATATGGTTAAGCGATTAAGTGAGATTGGTTTTACGCTGTATTTGAAAAGTTGTTTTTTTTATGAAGGCGTGTCAGCTTGATGTCGGAGGAAAACCCGAAGTGAGGCAGGTCTCAGAGGTTTACCACTTGATGAAACCCACGACAATGGTGCTGACAAGCCTCTGTAATTGGCGGAAGTCACGATGTGGTTACAAATACACAGATGAAGTCAACATGCAACAGTCACTCCTCTATATTCGCCAGGCTTTGGAGATATGACGCATTCGGGAGCGGTTATGACCATCCTTACAAAATATCAAGTTTTCATTAGGGTTAAAGCACATGTCATTTAAATATGATCGAAATGGATTTTTTTAGTTTGAAATGCCAGACTCCGCCTTTTCTTACGTAAGACGATGTTTCGTTTACAAATCATGACACACAAGCAACGCCATCTGGTTTCGCCAGTCTCACATCCGGGCGCCTACACGATTACCCAGGGGCTTGCTCGCCATCTAATTGATTGGGTGCGGCGTGGACCCGGAACAACCCTTCAGGCTAATAATTTCCTGCGGTCAGAGCCGATAACTATAGATTGATTGATCGATACATGGTCCAATGAGGGATGACTTAAATATTATTCATGAAATGACCTTGTTAAAATGCTGAAACAAACCAAAAAGACATTTTGACATTTTCAAACATGATAGTTTTATGTCACATTTAGTTCATGTAACTTCAGGCATTACCGTCTCATTTTTTTAAAAAGATTTGTTTCAATTGAAGAATGATAGTACGGAACAAGTACCGGATGTTTGCAATGTTCTTGTGTCAGTGTTCTTAAGATATCTTTAGCAACATAATACCATGATATGATCTAACTCTTTACAATCAAATATTTATTATGATTTTATAATTCATCCTGTCGCTGTGATATATTATGGAACTGGTTCTGGTTGAGTAGTATCAAGAAACTAACAACGCCTTCATTATCATGGCGTGTGAGATTGACATCGGAGGAAAGCCAGAAATAATGCAGGTGTGAACTACTTTGTTGACACCAACGATCATGGATACGGTGCTGACAAACCAACATACATAATCAGGGCGAATCTGGGATTCGAACCCCCTATCATAGGTTTCTTGCGATCCCTAGGGACATACATACAGCTTAGAATTAGGTATTGCGAACGAAGTTGTAAGTTTCATGTGGGACGTGAATGAGTGAGTTTAGTTTAACGTCGCTTTGAATAGTATGTCAGTCATATCAGCTTGATAATATGGGAAGGCCAGAAGTGATGCACGCCGCAGACGGTTATCGTTTTGGTGGAATCCACGAGTTGGGGTATGGTGATGACAAACCTAGAAACATCATCAGGGCGAATCTTGAATGCTTGAAAATATCTATGCATATCACACAGTATCAATGACACACACAGTACAATGAAAATGACAATAAAAACTATTGTTGTATTTTACACCAGAAGATTGGAAAACAAATTATGTTTTCACGTATATGTATCATGAATCCGCTCAAATTCGAGGTTGATACTCTCGAGATAGGTTGGTACATGTCTCAGTGGTGTGTCGATTACATACACATTGTTATACACAATACAGTTAGTGTAGGAATATTATCATGGATTAGAAGACATTGGTAAAGCCAGTCGACGTATGTTAGATACGCCATACAGATATACAGATTAAACGATAGGTGAATAAATTTGTAAAAATGCATGTTAATAGGACAAACCAAATTATGATAAATATGTCATGTACAAGTAATAGCTGGCTTCGGTGAGCAGCCTACTTCCGGTGGAATGCATAGTGTTTGATTGATGCCTGCGATGTTTTTTTGACATCCCTTGGAGCAACATAAAAATGATGCTTGGTTCCTCCCATGTCTTACAACTGCGAAAGGTTTTCCCAGAAGAAGGTAAGCTAACACTGGTCTCTGGATATATACATGGCATTTAATTAATTTTAATTTCTCCATTTCTTTAAATGTCTGTGTTTCTTCACAATTTGTACTACTGGTGAACATATATTGCTAAAAACAGTGATTGAGTTGTGATTAACGCGGCTGTGATCAGTATCCCGGCGTGTCAGCTTGATGTTGGGAGAAGCCAGAAGTGATGCGGGTCTCGGACGTTTACCACTTTGGTGAAACCAACGATCTCGGTGTATGGTGCTGGCAAATCAAGAAACATAATCGGACGAATTGGGATTCGAACCCACAATGGTTCTGCACAGCGAATTTCCGCGCCGTAGACGACTGGGCGATCCATGCCCCCCTATTAAAAAGAAGTTAAAGACAAATTAATGGCATGACCGATTGAGACAGACAGACATTTTATTCGGCATTTAAGGCTGTGTACTGTTGACATTTCATTTTTTTAGTCACGTGATATATTTTATGTACGAAAATACCTGACAGAGAGCATGTGTTTCAATAATGTGGCAAGCGAACGTATCATATAAGAGTTGTTGGGTTTCATAAGACTGATCATTAACATCTTGTTTTTATACATATTGTTAAAATCGGAATATACTTTTCAAACTTCTCACATACTAATAAAACATGAAATTCATCCTCAACCTCTCATTTGCAGCTTTAAGAGATCCACATTTCAGCTTCTCTTTATTCTTATCAATGTCTAAAATATACATTGACATTTTTGAATTTTTGAATTTACTAATAAGCAATTTATCATGTAACATACATATATACTTTTCTGGCAGATTTAAAATCAATGCCATGACTGAGGCGGGTTAAGGTCACCTTTTCACCATTTGAAAGTAGTTTATAAACACAATGTTATGATATAGTCGAAGGACAATTCTGTTAGCAAGAGTTGTCTGATGCTTATGTAATGGGTTTCATTTACGTGATTACAATTACGCATATTCATTCTCGAGTCAGTGGTATACAATTGGGGTTTCGTTCTCTAATTCTTACAGGTGAAAGATGTCAGGACTTAAACTGACGTTGATTGTCTGTTTGGGACTTTTGGTCACGTTACAACTCACATCAGGACAATGGGGACCAATTCGTTTTCAAAATGGCCTAGGCGGAGCCGGTGCAGGGAGATGGGTAGGCAATAGTGCACAGGCAGGATGGGGAGGCAACCCTGGACAATCTGGAACGGGAGGATCGGGTGGATCAGGAGGACCAGGAGCATCAGCAGGACAATCTGGTACGGGGTGGGGACGCCCAGGATCACCTGCTTCATTTGCAACAAATGGCAACGCTGTCAGAACCGCAGGAATTGGGATCGGAGTCCCTGGCCCAAACCAAGTTTTGCCCTCTGGTTTTCCCCCTGGCTTTACCCCTGGCTTTACCCCTGGCTTTACCCCTGGTTTTACCCCTGGCTTAACCCCTGGCTTTACCCCAGGTTTTACCCCTCGTTTAGGTGGAGTCGGTGGAATCGGTGGAATCGGTGGAATCGCTGGCAACCCAGGCGTTGTAAATCCCATGGCTGGAAATGCTAATCCAGGTACGTAGGTTGTGCAGGTTTCAACCGATAGCATCAAACAGCTGCATTTCATCGTGAATGTTAACTGAATGTAGTTTTCATACAAAATCTGAATACAGATACTGATATTATATAGTCCCTCTTTTCATTCATAACTTTGTTTTAGTCGAATGTATCTATTCCAAATGTGGGTAGAAGTAGCCCCATCGTCCGAGCGCCATAATTCGCTCTATATATCACTAAGTATTACCAGGATCTGCTGATCCTTACGAATATGATCCTTGGTTTGTAAGTTTCACCACAGTGTCAAACATCTAGGCCATGAATGGCTATGGGCTTTCATTCCATATTATGTTGACATACCTCAATAGAATAGAAAGACCGTTGAATATTCACTCATTCAATGTACTCAAAAAGAGTAAGATTGTTCGCCTTGTGTAGCAATTTCCAGCAGTATCACAGCGGAGAACACCAGAAATGGGCTTCACACAATATCCTAATGTGGGGAATCGAACCAGAGCCTTCAATGTGACTAGCGATCGCTTTAACCACTAGCTTCCTAACACTAAAGGAAAGCATCAGATGAAAACATTTCACGTCGAGTTACTTTGTTTCAGCAACTACAGCTGTGTGTACGTCAATGGACACTGCTGGGACTGGGGTCACATTCACTGCTACTATTCGAAGGACACTCGTTAATATTTTCGTAAGTTTTGACTGATACTTGACTTCATATGTTACCCGTATTGAAATTGTCGTGATCAGATTGTTTTTTTCTGGCACGTTTGATTAAAAAAATTCAAACAACACTATTCATCTAGTTATTGCTTTATGGATACAGTCAGTCAACATTTACCCCGGGAGACACATCATTTAATAGTCGGGGGAAGTGGAGAGCGCTCTGTGTTTTTCTTCGAGACGCAGCTTCAAAACAAACATATTTTGTCTCTCTCGTTTTCAGAACACCCAGTGAACATTTTTTGGTAAAATCTTTGGCAACGTATTTCTTCCCATTATTTTCTGGAACTGTATTAAAAATAAATAAAACAGCTCAAAAAGTGTATCCCCACCCCCTCCCGAATATCCAAATGGTGGTCTCTATTTTCAAAGGGAAAATGGCTCGTATTCAGACAGTCCCGTTTCAAAAGTTATGGGTAATGTTACAGGGCTATGATTCTTTCAGTGTTTTGCGTACGTTTTCTATTGCCATCCCGATTCTTTCGCATGCTAATAAAATATGTCTTACAATTTCTGAACCGCTGATTGCGTTTTAGCTTGGATTCCAAACGGAACTAGTTGTGGACATCACGACTGGCGCGGCTGCCTCTGGAACGGCCAACATCGTTCTGACATCTCTTGGGGGTGGAAGTAATACGGGTGGATGCAGTGCTGCTAACCTTGGGACTATTCTCCAGAGGTACCAATACTTCGCGTTACTATGGAACTTCCCATATGGGTTCTGGGTTAGAATTTAGCGTCATCCAGCTATGATAGTGCTAATTTGCGAGGATGAACTGAAACAAACTGTAAACTGTTAGCCTTGAGGTTCCATGAACGTTTAACATAAATATCGAAGGTCGTTAACATAAAACTGCCGCAGGAGACATATGTTGGTACAAAAGCACATGCGAAAATGTGAGAGTTGACTCTTGTAATGCCATGTTAGTAGTGCTACAGTATTTCCAGAGCATCATTATCGCTGTTTCGGTGTTTATAAAAGTGTGTTAGGAATTATATTATATTATGAAAAGTCCATTGTGTTGTTGCCATTGATATGTGTATCAGGCTCTCATGTTCGAGTTTAATTCAACTTTGACATAGAACGTAATAGAATTACTGTATGAAACATGTTTGCCATCATTTTGTATTACGATGCAGAATAACGTGTTAATTGTTTGACATAAATACAAATAAGGATGTGTACACTACACCAATTGTACAACTTAAATATTCTTATTTACTTTATACAGGGGGAACTTCGACCCATTTTTCAACCTTGGAACCAACAATGGTGTCTTAGAAACATTGACCCTCCAACCTAGCCAAACCGTGCCGACGAAAACATTCAGAACTCTCCCCATCTCATCTTTACAAGAGGCCTTTGGAATATCCATTGCCGTAAGTTTGCATCGACAAGGCTTGACTCCTTTTTCAGCAAGGAAACCAAGCTTAAAGGGGGACACGAACGGCCCAGTCTTTTAAAGCGCTGCAATTGGCTGTATAATTTCCGTCCCTTTGTCACGCAAGCATCCGACCTGGTTATAAGCTGAAATACTGTTCAAAATGACGTTAAACACAACTCTCTCACACTCTCAAGGTGGTGGTTAACGCTATTCACTCACTAAACTATACAGACATATATCGTCGTTTATGTCTCGTCCGGCTTTTATAAAATTATGCCCTGACTATAATGAATATGTTTCTGATGTAATGGTTGGCGTCTGTGACCATAGTCGAACAAAGCAGGCTCTCTGAATGTCTTGATCAGTTTTTGTTGTTGATTTTTGTGGTTTTCTGTTTTCAGCTGTGTACCGGGGTCGAACAAGATTCCACCTCAAATTCGGTAGTTTTTGGATTGAACTCCCTATTCCAACCGCGAAACTTCCGATGCACAGGAACCGCACAGGCCTGTTGCACATTTGGCCGATTCACAGGTGACGCCCAATAAAAGAAGACGTTAACATACTGTATATGTGGTCGCCCGTTGACCTCAATCGTCACCGTATGTCACTTCCGGATAATCGACAGACTGTCCAATGCAATCCCATGGCGTAATACAGCTCTACGAACAAATTCAGGATTTGTTGTTTTTTGTGTGTTATAATTTCCTGGGCTCATAAACCGTGTGTTTAATACTTCAGAATTCAAGCAAGTCTTTTAAGCTAAAACCTACCCAGTTGTTTTCAAATAATAAAGGAAAGGGTTTATCACTAGTTATTCTCTATGTTTGATGACCAAAAAAGGCAGACTGAGTAAAACTTTTATCAGCATGGCATGTTATGCTACAGGCACGACGAGCACAGTTAACGTTGTTTCATCGATGTTTATCAGTCAGAGACAGAATATTGTTTCTGTCGCTGCTTCAACACATACATTAGTTTCACTGAATGGTTGACTCGAAGGTCTAGTTTTTCACATGGATCATTATTTGCAGGACATCCAGATCACTAAAGTATTTGTGCAAAACCACAGGCAAAATAAATTTTTCCCGGTATATTTTGGAACAAATAAATTGCAAGTGATTCCGTGGCATTTAAAAAATTAGGCCACACCTGCCGACGGACTGCTCTTCCCTGATTAGCCGATAACAGTATGGGCGGTGACTTGTGTTGCAGTGAGTGAGTGAGTGAGTTTGGTTTAACGCCGCTTTTAACAGTATTCCAGTTATATCACGGCGTGTCAGCTTAATGTGGGAGGAAAGCCCGAAGTGATGCAGGTCACGGACGTTTACCACTTCGGTGAAACCAACGAGCACGGGTATGGTGCTGACAAACCTAGAAAGATTATTGGGGCGAACCGGGATTCGAACCCACAATCATAGGTTTCTGGCGTGCCCAAGGGACGCAACCCTGCGCAGCGAATCGCGGCGCCTTAGACGACTGGGCCACCCGTGCCCCCTTGTGTTGCAGTATTGCACTGGACGATGTCACTGATTTCGAATTGCTGTCTAGTTATTTTTGTGTTGATAATTTAAGAACGGAGTTTATATTTATTTATAACATTCGGCTTCAATATGTTTTTGCTTTTAAAGAGTTATAAACGTAAACAGATAGTGGGCCCAGTTTGCGTAATTCCCCATGCAGATTGCAAAAATATTATCGTCAATTCTTAAACAATGATTTTTATTATTTTATTCAACAAACTCTTTTCCACTGAACATATCGTGACAATATAGTTGTATGCGTTCAGTTGTCATTAATACTTTAAGTACTTAGAATGGTACATTAGCCTTGTGCATGCATTTCATAAGAGCGAGGGAACATTCATGAATATCACGTGAAAAGATATAGTTCTTTTTATCTAGAATAAATCAAGGGTGTTAAAATCCTCGATGTTCAATGTGGGTTCTACATTGAATTATAAATGTGGGGTTCTATATCGAATTATGATTCAATAAAAATTAAAGTAGTTGATAATAGCATCTGTAACTTTTGTAACATAGTGAATGAGCCTCTGACTCATCATAGCTTCAATAGTTTGAACATATAATAATGCGGGTCTTATATATAATATAAACCAGCCTTTGAAATATGCCAGACGAAAGAAATATAAAGAAGACGCAGACTATTGATAACCATTTCCTTATTTACTGTAAAGGCGACGTTTCGGTATAGATGCTTATATCGTTGTCAAGCAAGCCTGATTAATGAATATGGTACAGAATATGTATATATATATTAGGCGGAGGATTAACACTAACAACAATTGCATACATGAGAGAGATTAACATGAGTAGGAGGTAAATTAATCACCCTACCTATGTATACTTAATCCTGTTTAATTATTCTCCATTCTTATCGGCTTCCTCATCATGTATTCTCTGTCCGTCATGTTGTTTCAGTGTTAACCTTCTTATTTGCAATGTATGCAGTGGTTGTTACTGAGAGAGTGAGTATGATTTTACGCCGCTTTTAGCAATCTTCCAGCAATTTTACGGCGGGGGACACCAGAAAAAGGCTTCACACATTGTACCCATGTCGGGAATCGAAACCGGGTCTTCGGAGTGACGAACGGACGCTTTATTAACTAGGCTACACGACTTCCTCTGTTGATACTGTTTATTATCTACCAACTATATATATATTCTGTGCCAAGTTCACAATTCCTGTCTAGTTCATATACTAAGACTAGAAAATGAAATAAAAACAGCTCAATTAAACAGACAATACCTAGCCGCAGTATTTCCTGGACTTCAGGAAAACATGGCAATCTTCATGGAAAGCTTCCTGCAAGACAGGTCGCTATCAGTTAAAATAGGGAACAATCAGTCTGATTCTATGTCACTGGACAATGGCACGCCACAAGGCAGCATTATAAGCCCAATACTGTTTAACATCATGATCAATGATTTGGTTTAAACATATTTTTATTCATTGAAATGAGTTGGGATTGGTGAACAAGCTTTACAGCTTATGTTAACACCGCTCACATACAACATATATTACATATTGAAATGAAGGATGTGACGTCATCGATATAGACATTATTTAAATAATATGTTTGTACATATTACATCAAATACAAATACAAAGTGAACAGAAATAGAAAGTTACAGCTTGTGTGTGTCTAACAAGTCGTTTGTAACAAAAGTAATAGTCAATCATGAGGTTATTGTCCGGTTAATTTAATTATTAATTTGTGAAGAGCTGAAACGTTTTGTCTTGATGATAAAATCGTGGACGGATTCAACTAATTTCTGTTTTTCAGAGTGAGCAAGTTCATTGTTTCCGTTCATAATAGTATCCAAGTTATAACCGGTAGTGTAAAAGTGCATATTAAGTCTAATCTGAGTAAAGTTACAGCAAGTAAAAAAATAATGTAGGGCGTTTTCACTCTGATATCTACAGGTGCAACACGGACTGTCAATTAAATGTCTGTTATGATTCTTATCGGCGTTTAGGTCGCTATAACCGAGTATGAGGCGGCAGTGAACGATTTGACAGAATCGAGTGCCATAGCTAAGGTCAAAATAAGTCTTATTTTCGGTTTTCGTAATTAGGTTTTTAAATTCTGACAGACTACTTGACTCTTTGGACTTTGGTAGAGCAGTCCATAAGTGTATTGTGTCTGGTAAAAAGGATTTGGTGTAAGAGGAAGTACGGCTATAAATTCCTTGTATTTCAGAACTTTTTCTTATATTATAGTTTGTAGTTTCGGAGACAAAGTTTGGGATCAAATCACAAAGATAGTTTGGGAATTGGTTTTTATACATTTTAAAGAAAAAAGTTAATTTTTGTCAGTATCTTCTATCTTGTAAGGATTGAGATTTAGTTTCATTATAAAGTTTCTTATGACTTGTGCCACGAACGGCACTACATATAGTTCTCAGGGCATCAAGATGTAAGCTTTCTAATATACGCGATTGCTCAGACGTACAGCTATCCCAAATATGCAAACATTTGTCAAATGTTGGCAAGATATAGGACTTATACATAGTATCCAAGGTTTTACGTGATAATCGGTATTTAAAACTCCTCAGACAACTGATCATAGGGCGAACTTTTTGTACAATATCATTAAAGTGATCAGTCCATGTACAGTCGCTTTGGAGTGTCACTCCTAAATGTTTATGACTTTTGACTTCTTTTATGATTGTTCCATCCATAAGTAGGTTCGGCTTTAGAGACGGTTTAGCTTTACGTGAGAATTGGATGGTTTCGGTCTTATTTGGGTTAAATGTAACCTGCCACTAACGGGATCAATGATTTATTTGATCATGTCAACTCTTCACCAAACTTCTGAGTTCGCTGATGACGGAGCAATATGGGTAAAGCAGAGATATTTCACAAATCTGAAAAAAATCTCCAGTCATCCGTGGACGGGGTAGATAAATGGCGCAATAAATGGGGGTGAAACATTTCAAGTACCAAAACTGTGGGAGTTCTATTCAAACGCAGGGGGAACGATTCGAAAAATCCACAATATTTCTGGCAGTGATCCCAGAGATCAACACCTTACTTGGAGCAAACATTTATAGAATATGTGGATAACAGATGTCAAAAAGACCTGAGCGTATTGCGGGCAATTTTAGGCACATCTTGGGGCACTTCGAGGGACAATCAGCTGGATCTTTACAAATCATTTATCAGATAAAAAATAGACTATGGTTGTGAGGCCTTTCATTCAGCATCAAATACTGTCTTCAGCCGCCTCGACAGAATGAAAAACAAAGCCCGAATGCTAGGTACAGCAACAGGTATTTCACTAGAAGCACTGCAAGTAGAAACAAGAGAACTCCCATTGAAACCAAGAAGACAGCAGACAATATCATCGTGGCAAGACAAAAACACCCGAGATGAAGCCCTCGCTAAATCCAGCTCGGATATTAGAACGTGAACTCAGCCGAAGTCACAATTGTGATGACATTCACTACATAAAGTCACTACAAACCCTCCCTTGACTTTAAAAAATCCAAAAGATGACACTGCTTTAACATCAGAAGTCACTAAAAAAGAAAACCTAATCCTACTGCGATCAGTAACTATCTGTAAAGACCAAACTACCTGGAGACCTCGGCCCCTATATACACTGATGGATCTAAGAATCCCATTAACAACACTGCTGGTTACGGGATCCGCATCCATAGCTCCAGACCCAAAGCACATTCGGTTCGCCTGCCTGATGGCCAGTCAGTATTCACCGCTGAATTGGAGGCAATTTATCATGCACTCCAACTCATACCGGAACTACCGGAAGCAAAGGCAGCCAAAGGAGCCAAACTCAAGGCCAAACAGTCAATAATATTTTATATACGAATATACAAAACTATCGCACCAAGGGCAACATGTGAAGTTGTGTTGGATCCCGTCTCACATAGATATTTATGGAAATTAAAAAAGCAGACACACTGGCGAAGCTTGCTCTAGACAAAGCGGGGATACAGTCTATTCCCTTTAGTAAACTACTAGAGATCAAAATCAAAATCAAAGCCTCCATAGCCCAGTGGTACGCAATTAAGATCGGCAGATGGCTTTACAAAATTCAACCCAAGATCCACCAAAAGCAAAACTCATCCACAAATGAAATGAAAGTTGAAATTACCTCAGACTCGGTCGCAAAAAAACACTATGACA